GGTTACGAGCCAGCTTCAGATACCCCACCACTAGTTGGCGCAGCGAACGTCACAGTGAACGCCACAACATCAGCCCAGCATTATGTGTCTCACTCATTCACTTTTTGATTTGACATACGAGTAATTTGAGTTACGAGCTCTGTCACAGAATGAATTAAACTCGTAAGTCAAGGCCCCACTGTATATATATATTCATATATATATTCTTTTTTGTATTTAGTTTTCTACTTTTCTTCTTATACACCCATTCTCTTTCTACCTCCTCTATACTGAATTGTGGCTATTTCCCCATTCATTCAATTCCTTGACCTTTCCTCCTGGAAATAAGCTCTGCCTCCTCAGATTCATCTGGGTGTTTGTTGTTTGGAGGTGTGTTGTTTGCATTTTTTGAATTAGTTGTTCTTTGTAGTTTGCATTCATCTCTGGGTGTTTGTTGTTTGCATTTTTTTGGATTAGTTGTTGTTTTATTAGAGTTTTCTCCCCATATACATATTTTTCTTTTTTTTCCTCCTCTCTCTTTTCTCTCTTACATTTTTTCCTTTCCTCAATATCATTTTTTCACTCTTCTCTATTCCCTAATTCTCTTTTCTCTGGTGGTCACCTTTATTCAGGGGCATTAGTATTGTGAATACATTTGTGTTTGGTGCCTTATGAATTGTTTCTTGTTGTGTTGTATTTTGTGCCTTTATGTCAATGCAGGAGAGAGAGAGCTACATAACCAGACACACCAGAGAGGAGCATCATGGGGAGACAATGAAACAGCCCACATATGAAAGAAAAGGAAGATCACCAGAAAAGGAAGTAATTGAAATGGAGGCAAGAAATATGACAGAGAAAGAATTCAGAGCAAGAGTCATAAGGTTGCTGAAAAGGATAGAAGACAAATTCAACAATATGTGTAAGAACCAAGAGGAAATGAAGAAGAACCAAGAAGAAATTAAAAATGACATCACTGCAATAAAGAACCTAATAGAAGGCATCATCAGTAGACTAGGAGAAGTGAAGGGCTGCATCAGTGAGCTAGAAGACAAGGTAGGAAAAAATACCCAAGCAGAGCAGCATCTAGAAAAAAAATTTAAAAAACAGAGGGAGAGCCTAAGGGAATTTTGGTACAACATGAAACGAAACAACATCTGCATAATAGGGGTGCCAGAAGGAGAAAAAACTGAGCAAGGAATAGAAAACCTGTTTGAAAATATAATGACAGAAAACTTCCCTGATATAGGGAAGAAAAACTCACACAAGTCCAAGAAGCTCACAGAGTCCCAAACAAGATGAACCCCAAAAGATCGGCACCAAGACATATTATAATTA